TTCAATGCATTCTTTCGATACAAATCTCAATTCGATTCCAATTTCAACACTATTTTAAAGCCAAACGTAAAATGCGTTTCAATTTTATGACTCAATAATTGAATCAAAACTCGCATTCATTTCATTCGTCACTCAATATGTGAGACAACAGACGTCTTAATGGCCAACAGATCCGCCACTTATGGCCGCAATCCGTGGTCTCAAGACATACACCACAACCACATCCTCGTCAACGAGTCCATCGACAGCGAAGACACTCTCCTCGAGAGCGTAAACGTCGAGAGTGTTTGCTATCTGTGTATCGGTTGCGGTGACGGCAGAAGCGGATCCACTCTTTACGACACTCACAATCGCACCGTTCATGTGGTCCAAGAAGTGGAGGACAACGACTTCGAGTTAGTCCACTCACTGCTCATTCAGACGCAACCGAATCATGTGATCGTTAGCTCTAAATGTGACCCAAAACTGATCCAATTGTTGACCACTTATACGAACCGTTCGGACGTCGAGATGACATCCGAAGACGAGTCAAGCGCTTCTCGTATGCACTCAAGAGATGAGTCGATGGAAACGGAAACGATTGAAGGATCCGCTGTCGACGCGTCGCAGATATCGCAGACATTGCTTCAGAAGAGCTTTCACTTCACTCTTCACACCGTTTCTCATAAATTATTTGATTTCGAGAACTCGAAGACACGGATCCTCTCAATGGACGTGAAGAACATCTCAAACGTTGAATTCGCGGACGAAATGCAAAAATTTGTGTTCATTTCGTCGTTAATTGATTTCTGGGATAACAATACGTTTCGATCGTTCGGAGCATTGCTTAGATTTCTGGACACGAATTGCGCTCAAATGCAAACTCAAGACATCGGATCCAGTGTTGAGATTACAAGAATCTCGAGGCTATACTTGGATCACTACCACCGGTAGCTAGCGTTGTGTAAACTTAGCAACGTATAGAAAGTTGTGCTTACCGTAGGCAGCCGGCGGTTTGTCCCTGAGTTAGTCTTCCTTCCCGAGTCAGAAATGCCAGAGAAGTTAACGATTGTGTCTAAAGTCGGCGCCAATTATCTGCGAAAAATCTTTTTACATCCGACACAAGACATCGACGTTATTATGGATCGATTGAATACCATTGAGTTCTTCGTCGACCCAATCAATGGCAGCGTTAAAGACAATCTGAACCAACACTTGAAGAACATAAAGGGTGTGAACGCACTCTTCAATCGACTTATGACCGAAAGTTTTTCCGTCAAAGATATCAAAATTCTTTGCGATAATTTACTCAACGCTATGAGAATCAGAGACATAATTGTGGGACAAAACTCTTATCTGAAAATTTTTCAACAAATATACGACTCATTCACAGAAGAGATGCAATACTTAGCGAATATGATCACTAAAATTGTCGACTTAAACAAGTCGTTGAGAACTGAAACGTTTGAAATAAACTACGGAATTGATGTGGAGTTGGATTTCGCAAAGGATTTATACTCTCAACTCTCGCCAATCCTTAACAAAGTAGCCGAAAGTGAAACCAATACTTACGGACACTTTCTGCGGGACATTCATTGCCTTTATATACCACAGATCGGGTTCTTAACCAGTGCTGAACACTTTGCGAGTGAATCCGAGAGCAGTTCCCATAGCGATGATCTTCAGGTTGTGGTGACGGCCGGACAGCGCATCTATTACAAGACATTCACAACTATAGAATTGGACCAACATTTCGGAGACATTCACTCAGAGATCATTGATCGACAGATTCTCATCATTAATAGATTACAACAATATATCGCTAATTATAGACATTTGTTTAATACAATTGAGAAGTATTGCGCAAAACTCGATGCTTTGATAGCGATGTCTCAAATTGCTGTCAATTATCGTTACTGCAAACCAAACATCACTACCGATGGAGTGATTGAGATTAGAGACGGAAGACATCCACTCATAGAACTCATGTCAAAGACATTCGTACCGAACGATTACTATAGCGGCGGTCAACACAAGAAAGTAAAGATCATTTCGGGTCCGAATGCGTGCGGAAAAAGTGTTTATTTGAAGCAAATTTGTTTAATTGTATTTATGGCACACATCGGCAGTTATGTTCCGGCGTTGAGCGCTAACATCCCAATAGTGGACAGAATTTTCACGCGATTACACACTCCGGAGTCTATGTCTATGCGTTTGTCGACATTTATGTTGGATTTAAATCAAATGTCAAACGCGTCTAAATATACAACGAAGAGATCGTTAGTAGTGGTCGACGAGTTCGGCAAAGGGACTCAATCTGTCGATGGATTGGCACTAATGGCCGCTTGTCTTAATCAATGGTTGGCCGCAGAAACGCCTCATCTCATGGTTTCCACTCATTTTCGGTGTTTGCTTTCGCTGTTATATGACAATCATTTATACGATTGTCAAACATTTCAATTCACTCGAGACGAAAGACAAACGACTTATTTGTTTAAACTAATTGATGGTCTATTTGAGGGAAGTATAGCCTCTCATATCGCATACTTGGCGTCAATTCCTATGCCTACTATTGAAAGAGGACTACAATTATGCGAACAAATGTCTTTAAATAATCCAATAAAACCCAAGTATTCATCGGAAACTCAAAGCAAATTTGATACATACGAAGAAATTGCTAATAAATTCATTGAACTCAACCTACGATCGCAGCAACAAATACAACACTTTTTCAGTAATGAGTTTTTCAAACAATTCCCGAATTAATGCTCAAACGATAATTCTTTAATTAATTAATTATTCATTTATTCATTATTATATAATATGCAAAACTCTTTTTCAATTACTTTCAATTTCATTAATACTTTAATATTAAACATGAACTCAAAATAAAACTCAGAATCAATTTTAAATAATTAATTCCTGGACTATTGGTAAATATAATTCTTTAATGTGAATAAAACATTAGTTAAAGTGTTTGTATGTGTTTTCAATCAAATATGACAAACATGTATAGCTGGAGACGTTTTTAGAGCGACATATTTTTCCGATTTGATATTTATTATCAAAATATTAAATATAAAACGGAAAACAAATGTATTTTCTTTGTAAACAAGAAATAATGTTTGAATTATGAAAGAATATGAGATAGAATTTCTAATTTATTTTTTAAGGGATAGAATCGTCGTATCGTTCACTTTGGATGAGAAAATCAATAAAATATTTCAGTCTTTCCTTCACTTTAGGCTTTGTTTGGGTAGTAATGGAAACAGAAGTGAACCAAAAAAATATATGAATAGATTTACAAAACGATCGATTCAACCGTTTTCTCTCTTATTTTGGTAAGACTTGGGGGTTGAGGGGGAGTTTGGATCAAGTGCTTATCCATTCATTTACTACATTATATTTGCCACAATTCTAATCAATTTTCTCAGTAATTCTTTAGCAATAAAATAAAGACACAAATTTAGTAATAAACAGATTATTTAGTATGAAATAAAATTAAATAGATTTAATTTTACAGTAAATATGTTTAATAAAGTTGTGTAAAGAAGTGGCAACGCTTGGTCTCAACTCCAAAGGCAACACCTAATGGGCGGCACTCCTGACGCGTCTCCGTATTCGAGATGTGAGCATATCTTCATGTCTTCAACACAACAGTCCTTTCAAACTATGGCTGAAGTATTGCTCTATTTCTAAGAGTGTTTCTCCAAATTTTCGATATCCTATTACTTTCCCTATTATTTTAATCATTTTAAAATATTGAACACATAATAAAGTTTTGCTTTATTTAAAATAATAAATTGTCTTAATTCTAATAAAGTCTGTTTACTTAATCCCTTGAATTGCAATTGTGTTTCAAAATTTGTTTGCTTAAATAAAGAACATTTATAAATTAAAATTGATTTAAAATTTAACAACAATTACACTTAAGAAGTGAAATTCGCTTTAACAGCAAAAGGTAAGAACATTTAAATTTATTTGTGTATTAAATATATAAATAGCAAATAGAAATGAATTTGAATATAAATATAATATACACTATTATGCATTAAATGTTTGCATTGATTTCTAAAAATATTGAACAAATATAGTATGAGTTAAAGCGCCTAAAATCATAAATATCTTTAAATCCAATTTAGACTAAAGTAAAGTGAGGGCACATTTCTCTGGAGATTACCGTAAAAACCTCTTCCTTGCAATACATTCAATACACTTCTATGAAATACACTTCAATTGAATTGAATTTTTAACAATATATTACTTTTTAAAAAACAAGACATGTTTTGCAAGAATAACATTCAGACAACACTCTTATAAAAGATTAGCGACAAGAATATTGGTTTTAAAATAAATTGATTATTAATAAATAAATCTTTGAAAGTTTAATATAACTGTAAATAAAACAGTTTATACTGTACTAACTTCATAAATCACTTTAATTTTTTTAAATTATGCAAAATATTAAAGTTTATTCATATTATTAATTACGAACTGAGAACATGCTAATAATTTACAGGATACATTTAATTTATAAATCATTTTGCTGTTTAATAAGTTATTAATAATGAAATATTAACAATGAATCTAAAAATATTTTTTCTTTGATATTTCCATTAAAGTTGACATTTATTAAAATTGCAAATTGATTGATGTTTTATCACTACAAATATTTTATTGATTTTTATATTAAATATAGCGTTAAAAGACTCCGATTTGTGATGAAGTTTACAACTTTTTTTTATTATACTTTAAGCCTTAGCCTTGGGTTAGACTTAATTTTTATAATGCAAACGGAATATACTGTACACTACTTTTAGATTAAGACTTTAATGATTACATGAAAATCCATTTGTAATTAAAAAAGCTATAATTAATTGAAATGAATAAATAACTAATTTATTCACAAATAAATTGAGTTAATATTTAAGCAAAGATTTTCATTTCTATCGCCGCCTAATCTTTATTAAAAAGATATGTATAAACGTGTGTATAAAACTTGTGACAGTATTTTGTTTTTTTTAAATTAAATGGTAAAATTAATTAATATACAGTACAATAGTGTATGTATTATACTTGTATTTTACTTGCAAACTTGTTCAAATTAAATATTACAAAAAAAACTAATTTATAGATATTAAAATTCAGTATTACATCTTAAAATACATATTAAACAATATAACACATTATAATTTGAATTAATTTTCAGCATGAAATGCTAACCGAGGAGAAATTGTTTGTTAGATTTCAATCTATGTATTATATTTCTCCCCATAGAGATCCCATATTAAAATTTATAGTCTGAAATTGTATTTTTGGTCAAATGTAATCCCAATCACACAATTTAAAACTTTATAAGTTTTCTCATTTGTTTATAAATTTTAATTAAATTCTGTAAATTGAAATAAATCTTTAATGATTGCAATGAACTTTTTATTTATTAATTCTTTATGTTTTACTATAATTACTGTAATTTTATCATTTATAATAACAATTAAATATCCTATTTATTAGTAACTGAAAAAATATAACTTATATAATTTAAAATTCCATAAAAATCACTACTTTTTCAAACTGTAATAAAATTTTAATTTTATATTTATTGGATTTTTGTTAGTAAACCATTTATTTTGTCATTAATTCAATGGACAATATTATCATTTATTAATTTCTTTTAAAATAATGTTATTTTTGATATAACAGCGCTGTATGTGATGCACACATACTGTATAAGTAAAGATACATTAATCCGATAACAACCCATCCATTAGTAATGCATGAATGATATGGTCTCATGTAATGTCACTTTCAGCCATTCATAACATTTTTGTGACAATTTTAACAATACAGTATAATTTGAGTGAAACTCATGATCTAACTATCGATTCAGAAAACTTGCCAAAGATTGACACAAAAATAGCTTTTAGTAAAATTCTTGGATATTTTGATTTGTTTGTTGAATATAATAAACTGAAACTAATATTATTAATGATATAATGGATATATAATTACAATGAATAGAGAAGTGCTTCAATGTATCCATCAATAGAATTGTTGAGCAATAATTGGGTGAAACCTCTTTCGGCTCATTCATGAGAACAAAAGCAAATGACTTACAAATACTGCATATATTATATAAATTTATATAAAATAGTGCACAATAACTATAGGTAAACCTTTATATATTAATTATATAAAATTTGAATCTGCATCACATATAAAAATGATTTTATGTTAATTATTTCAATTTAAATATTGGCATTATTTCCATAGTAATTATGTAAAGAATATTTTTACAATAATATTTGCACAGAAAGACCATTAGTATTGAGATAATAATAAGAATTCATTTTCAATTTTCTAATTTCAAATGTTAAACTAAATATATTCGTATATATAATCTAACGTACATTTATTGTACAAATATCTCAATTTCGCATAATATTTACTTACTTTAGAAATTGAAACCAAACTTCAAAATACAAATTCTTATAAACGTAAACTGTGCTGTAATTGTTATAATGCAAAAATATATCTAAATATAAGATGTCCTGGTTTATATAATACTACTGTAAATTTTCTCTGACATTTTCGACAACATTATTGCTAAATGTCATCGAATTTTGCTTTCTATTGCTTTGAATACATTAGAAATAAATTAGATTATCATTAATTGTGATATCGTGTTCACTACAATATATATTTTCATTTAAAAAAATGTTGCCTAATTTATTAAATAATTAAAGAATAAATTGAGAACATAATTGTCAATCCAGTTATTAATAAAATTATTTTCTATAGGAATCTTTTGAGTATGTATTTAGTAACACAATTAAATTATTTTATTTTATTTAATAAATATTTAGATTGTTATAAAACTATATTAATAATTTAAGGAAAGTAGACATTATTCTTGAAATATGCGTTGAATGTCACTAATTACTGAATATTTCAATTATTTTAATTACAATTGTAAATAAATGTTGTTTATTGTGAATAATTTAGATATTATGCCTCAGAAGATGTGGTTTGGACTGAATTTAGTGGCTTTGAGTTCACTGCTATTGATTTGTCGGATGAGTTGTCTATCATTGGACGAAATCCATTCCTCATCGAATCAGTTCAAAAGCATTTCACATCAGAATAAAGATAATAGTCTTAAGAATGCCATCGAAACGATTCATAGGCGACGACAAGAGAATCCATTCGCACATCTTTACGGCCCAAACAGTCTTCCACTTCAAGCCATTCAATACTACCAAAGATTAGTTCCATTCGACGAAACCCAAGACATTGAGGTTCCGCTTGAGGTGAGCCTTACATTACATTCATTTATACACATTATATAATTTTTTAAAGTGAATAAATGCTTTCAAAGCGAAACAATTAATATGCAAAGACTCAGTACTCAATGACTTTATACAAACATTAATTTATTGAAGATTGTGAGCATTTCTTATGAGAATCTAATGTATTTGTGCTCTTTATATGTGAATGACATTAAGCGTTAGTCCTTTCATTTACGGTACTTTCATATTCTCACAAAATAAAGGTTTTAAGTTCTGAGTTACGTATCATAAATAACGTAATGAGAAAGCAAATAAATGAGAATATATTCGTAATGAAGTTAAGCTGCTATATATTCCAAGTGTGCATTACACATAAGAAGTGAATGGATAAACAATTTTAGTATCAAGTGTTTCAGTCAATTATTTCTAATGCATTAATATATAGGTGTTTACAGAAATAATGCAAAATTACAAAAAATATTGAATTGAGATCAGATGAGCACAAAATCGAAAAATTAATATATTGTAGATTCTATATATAAAGTATATAGAATTTTTATTAATATTATTTACTAAAATATGAGCGATTTTCATTTTAAAAAATTAATATTAATTTTCAATCTAGAATTATTTTTGTTTGTTTGGATATTTGACAAACATTTTCTTATTAAATTGTTTCGATGAATACAATTTTTAATATCTTAATCTTTTATAAGCAATGTTTTATTTGTTGGGATTATATTTCAATATTTATTTTTCAAAAACAGTATCAAATAGAAGACAATTATTCAGACGAATCTCTTAAACCAGAGGAAGATTATTTAATATCTTAATCTTTTATAAGCAATGTTTTATTTGTTGGGATTATATTTCAATATTTATTTTTCAAAAACAGTATCAAATAGAAGACTTAATAAGTCTGCTTAGAGAATTTGGTCTCCTTCTAAATATAAACTTTCGTAACCGAGACTTTAATCGGGTTGAAAGTCTCAGATTATCACTTGCTCTTAGGCTACAAAGCGTGTCTTATAACTTATAAATTAGTCTGAAAAAGAAAAGAAGTACTTCTAAACAGAATTCACTGAAAACTAAGGTCAAAAATTTGGACAAAATAAAGCAAAAAGTTAAAAATACTAACAAAAATGCATTGAGTAAACCAAAGACCAAACGAAATTCTGGTCGACGTGTACTCAGCGATCATTACAACGTCGAGGAGAATAAGAAAAATGTGATAAAACCAAATACTAATTTAAAATCTCCCAAAATGTTACCCAATTCTCAGATTCTGTTATCGAAATCAAATCAAAAGTTAAAAAATCAAAACAGAAAACAAACGAAAGCCAAGAAAATGATTAGAAAGAGAAGAGCGGAGTCACAGATGGCTTTAGACAAGAGAGCAGTTAATAATGAAAGCAAAACAAATTCTCCAGAACTGAAAACGACTGATAAGAGCGTTGTCTCCGAATTGAATGATATCCTGTCAGATGACAGTAAAGCCGAGAAAATCATTGAAACCAAACAAAATAAAACTAATAATAATAACATTAATAAAAGCCTTTCTCAAGGAATTAACTTAAAGAATACCAAAACTAAATTAATTAAGGCTAAGAACAAGAGGAGCAGTCCGTCGATGGAACAGCCACTTAGCGACGATAGTATTGATGACAATAATAACAATAACGAAAATATAATTACTTATCCAATTGAAAACATTGAAGAGAAAAGTGAGCTAAGAATTAGCGAAACGCCGGACAAATATAATCAACAGATGGATGAATGGCTGAGACGAGAGTATTATGAGAACATCGCTAAGGCTTTGGCGACTATGAGAAGGAAACGAAGTGAAGAGGAGTTTGACTTTAATCCAAATAATGATGAAAACGATGGCATTAATGCTATCGAAGACTCGGATTTTATTGCAGACAACTTAATAGCCAATGACATCAGTAATGAGAATAACGGCGACGAGAAGATCGACAATGTTTTGGATAGAAATATGGATAAATTGTCGGACGATAGCGACGACGACTATGTGGTGGCGGCTATTGATGATGACATCGATGGCAACGACAACAACACACAAGACATAAACGATGGGAAGGATAGAGAGGAAGGGGATAATGAAAATGACGATTCAGTCCTTTGGGATATCATTGAAGAGAAGAATAGCAAACAAATGGTTAAACGAAGCGTTAATTCTGGGTCTGAAGAAGAGAGTGATAACGAGGAGACCAATGAAATAGATATCGATTCCCAGCGTTTCTCTCGCATTAATACAAAACTTGAATCCATTGAAGACTCACTCCTTAGCGAAGCGATTGGTTTAATACGAGAGACGGCACAAAAGGGATCGCAATCTGAGGCCGAAAGTAATAAAATTGAAAACAGACTGAACGCCGCCTATAATATTGAAGACATGCGAACAATATTAGACGACTTACACAAAACTGTCGATAAAATCAATGTTGAAAACGACAGGAATAATGATTTGATTGAAACAGCAAATAGAGAAGTGGCCACAGATTTGATCGATAATCAAATTGATTACCAAAATACCAATGATTTGGGTAAAAATATTTATCTTTTTTCATTGCTTTAACTGATTTGTAATTTAATTAGAAAAGAGAATTAATTGAATTGAGAAATAAAATTCAATTTCATTAATAGTGAACTCATTATCGAAATCAGAATCAGTGAACAATTGTTTTGCAATTGAGATGTTTTCGAGTGATTGCTCTTCAGTGGCAGATCTGATGCCAAACTCAAGACTTCGTGAATCGTTTACAGAGGCGTGTAATTGGCATCACATTTGCTACACATGTGTATGAATTCATTGATTTAATTTGCTTTCAAAGCTAAAGCGAGATCTAATTAATTGAAATGAATTTGTGTTTTAGGGAGAAGTTTATGGACTATTGTCTAGTGATTGTGATTCTGGTTTTCTGGAGGCCAGTCGTCTGGCCTGTAATGACAGTCCTTCGTGTGAGACGTTCTCCCGACTCGTGTTAACGCCTTTACGACAAAGCCGTGTCTTTTATAAAAGCTCTGTCCCTAAGACATGCTTTCAATACCAATGTATTAAAGATTACTTATTTGATTCACAAAACAACAAACGCTAGAAAACCATCTCATTATTTGCCCGATTCTTATCATTTTAATTAACTATTTAACAACAATTGGCGTTAAATAAGTAAAACAGTTATTATAATATATTATAATATATTGCTAACTTATTATATTAACTATTAACGAGTTAATAGTTTGTAAATGAAATTTATAATTAATTGAATACTTTAGTGAATTGTGACTTAAATTTAAATAAAAGACTTATTGTTTACCGAAAACTTGTAATTATGGCTTAATTATGGCTTTTTTACAATTAATTTATTGTTTAAAATGAGTTCTTCATTACATATTCAATGTATTCATCAATTATTCATTTATTCACTCGAATTCATTATTTTGTTTAAAACAACAAAATTTCACAAACAGTTCTCAGAAATAATTGTTGACTTTTATTTTATTTCCAAAATTATCTAGATTTAAAATTTAAATTTTAAATCAACATGTTTAAATAGGAATTAGTCCAACTTTTGTAATGTAAATCATTTGATAAGAAACGATTTATTTATTTCATTAAAATTTGAAATCATTTTTGAAAGATTTACAGAAAACTAAACATATTTTACCAATAATTTTACAGTAAAATGAATCTGTGTTGACTAAAGCATCCAAAAATACATTATAAAGCGTTTACCAGTACTTTATAACAATAAACTAATTTGAGTTAAATAATTGTTCGTAAAAACTATCTATTTTAATAATAAAATTATTATATACTGTAATCAGAGAATTTATATTTAAATTATGCTATAATTTATATTAAATTAAATTTTGTGTTGAGAAAACTACTTGTGCTACTTTACAAGGTTTTAAACAATGATTTTAGTTAATAATTAATTAAGTAGTGTATATTATTACGTTATAAAACTTTAAATGTGGGTGACATTATATAACATGTAATAATATTACATTGTAAATATGTTAT